AGGATCATCTGGGTGTCTCACTTAATCCCCTTTAAGGACGCACGGGAAGCTGATTAGGGTACACCCCTTCCAGAATCTGGAGCAAAGCCAAACGGATTAGCCAGCACTGGAGGACCCCACTGCCAACACACTCGGGGAAAGGGATCACCGCAGAGCATCACTGCAGTGCAGCAGCATAAGTCTTCCCCACAACAGCAGCAACTGTAGCCTGTGCTTGGTAGCCAGCTAAAGCCCAGTCTAAAAAAATAAATCCATCAGTTTTGGACACTCTGCAAACAAACAATCTCTCCATTTTAGTTGAAACACTGAGCACCGATCCCCATTCACCCCCCACTGGGCAATCAACCTTTCAATGGTTTTAAGCCAGTTCCTGGAATGGTCTAAACTCAGGAGCTGGACACAGTCATGGGCATCGGTAGATGGTTTTATTCTTCGAGCCCACCCTGCAGCTCCCTTAACTCAGATCAGTAACCTGCTCCTCACCCCTTTTTTCCAGGTGCAGATTCAGACATGTGTTCAGAGCAGGGAAAGAAAAACCCAACAGTACAGAACTTCCCTTTCGATGGTCATTCTAGAAACAATAACGGCATCCGTTTGCCCCCCCCCTTTTTTTAAAAAAATCTAAGTCTCATTAAATTGAATGGGGTTGGAAGAATGTAACCCAGCTTTAAAGCGGTGTTTTGCAGGGAAAGTTTAGCTTCAAGATTCTTGCTGGTTTGGTTAACTTTCGTAAGCACTTCTGAAGAGGAAAAGCACTATGTAAGAGCTAAGTACTTTTCCTGATGGGGTAACTTGGAAAGAATTCTAGTGGCAAGTTCATTTTCAGGCCTTCCTTTTCAGAATGTTTTTTTGCAAGGCAAATCTGACCCTGGACAAATAAAATGTGCGCTTGCATCTTTCTGCCTGCAGTTGCCTTGCTAGCAGTTTGATTTGTAGGTATAGGTCAGGTAATTAACCCTCCAGCTGCCAGTATTTTGCTGGAGCGATTTGTGGATGGAAAAATGCAGGTACAATTTGCAGCCATATGTACCCCCAAAGAACTGCATATGCAACATGCTTGTGTCTCGTGCTTTGACTTGTTGTTACATATCCTTGTGTGTGGTTAGCCTTAGAAGCCCTGCCGGACAGCTCTGGAGATGAAATCTCCTTGTCTGCAGGGAATAGAAACAGGTAGAAAAAGGAAGGATTGTGCAGCGAGCTGGGCTGTAGGAGTCCTGGTTCAAGTCCCTGCTCTATCAGACGTCCTGGGTGACCTTGGATAGGTCACTTCGTCTCTCTGCCTCAGTTATCTTACAGATGGGGATATGAGCACTTCTCCCCCTCAAAGCGCAGTCTGGTCAGATAGATACTCCAGTGATTGGGGCCAGGGACAGTACCCCAGAGAGGGACAGGCTAGAATTCCACCTCAGGCCTGATATGGAGAGGTGACCTCCAGGGGCAGGAGAGCTGATCAGTCTGACCATTCAGTCCTAGAGCGCCCTACTGATACTGACCCAATTTCTTTTTTTGGCAGTTACAATGGGGCCCCAACCACGCCCTTCGTGCTGAAAGCCAAACCATGGCTATCCTTAGTTGTTACCAACTGGGGTCCAATGAACCCTGTGGGCCTTGAGGGGAAACTGTGACCTGCTGCTAAAGCCACTTCCTCTAGTACAGCAGTCCCCAAACTTTTCATGGTCATGCACCCCTCTTTACTGTGATTGTGTACCCCCCAGGGGCAGGGCCACAGCTCTTCAGGGGAGGGTTGCATGGACATGGGTAACAGGGCCAAGAACTGAGCCGGGGCCAGGCCGGGAGCAGAACTGTGGCTGGGTGGTGCTCCTGCCCTGATCTCACACCCCCAAAATGTTCCTCCATGCCCCCTAGGGGGCATGCCCCAGTTTGGGAACCACTGCTCTAGTAGGATTCTCCCACCCATTCTTGCCCTTACAAACATGAGCTGGGGGGGTGGGGGTGGGGGGAGGAGAAGAGAGAGAACACTGATGCAGAGACCTGAAATAAGGTGGATCCATTTTATAGCCTTACAGCGGCTGGCTTGGGAAACAGGCCTTTAGTAGGCGTATGTGATCTCAGCAGGCCCAAATCCCTCAACTGGCCTTTCAGGTTACTCCAAAATAAATCGAGGAAACTTAAAATTACTGCATGAGGGGGAACAAGTTCTGATGGATTTATTGTCTAAAGAGACTGGTCAGGGAGAATTCGCTGCTTTGCCGTTTTTTCTGCCTCCTTTGCTCTACACCCTCATCCTCCTTAGCAGAACTGGCCTTTGAATGCACCACCCTGCAGAGGCAGCTGACCGTCACCCACAGTCCTGCGCCCTTCAGCTCATTGGGAGGCAGGGAGAGAGGGCTGGGAACAATGGCCCTCCCTGGCTAGCTGCGTCCCCTCTAGTAGCGCCCCTCAGACTGGGAAGGCATGTTTGACCAAACATGCCTCAGGAAAAAGGTCAGGCCTTTGTGGGATTACAGGAATTTAGCAACGCTCCAGAGAGAGAGTTGCAAAGTCATGTTTAATGATACTTTGCTGAGAAACATGGACGAAAATTTAATTAAAAACATCACTTACTCAAGCCTGGTGGAACTAATTGAGTGCTCTAACATTCTGACTTTTCATTAATGGGTTACAAAAGAGGGGGCGAAGAGGGTGGTGGAAGAGCGTCCAGCCTCGCTTTGTAATAGAGCAGAGCGGCTTCCACTTTGCTGCCAGCCCTGGAACTTTACTGAGTGGACTTCTTTCAAGGGGGAGACGGTGGGTGGACAGAATAGCTGAGTGAGCTTGAGTAGATTTGGCAGAGGAAGGGAAATTGCTTTTTTAATAAGTGGGCTATTCAGAGCCCATGCTTCACAATAAAAGAGGATGCTGGAGAGGTCTGAAGTCTAATTACCTCATCCTCACGCCAGACAAGCTTGCCCTTTCATTAGCAATTGAGGTCATATGGGAAGCACTTTGCAAGGCCGAACGGCCATAACCAGCTCAGAGAGGAGTTCAGCATTTGTGGGACGTTACAGTCGACGCAGCGAGGGTGTCAAGACGTGAAGTCAGAACTTCTACCAAGAGAAGCTAGGATTTGTGTTTTTAAAAATGGAGTGACAGAATACCACCACCACCTAGAACTACATAGTGTGTTTGATAGCTTCTTCCCATGGAGAAGTTGCTCTGTTGACTGGAAGGAGACTAGAGTTTGTTGCCAGCCAAGTTCTCTTCTGCTGTATCTCAGGGCACCCGTTATATGTTCTGCCAGGATTGGGGAGTAACATGCAGGGTGGGAGGGGGCAATCCATGCTGCTGAGAAGTGGGGAAAGAGACCACCAAAAATTGTGCTGCACCTTTAACAGATTGTTCCAGTGTTGGTCCATGGGGGGGTGGAGAGGCCTACCCAGACACTATCTCCTAAGCAAGCTATTGGAGGAAGGAGTCTTCCTGCCCACACCAAGCCAACCCAAAGCAGGATCTATGGTGCACTGCACTGATGCATCTAGTCTACACTGGTTTAACTAAATTGATGCCTTTAAGCCAGGGCAATCCCCCTAGTGTGGGCAGTTGTGGCCCAATGTTTAGGGCCCTAGCCTGGGACTTTGAGCAGGGAATTCAACTTCAGTCTCCACCATAGACTTCTTATGTGACCCTGGGCAAGTCACTGGCTTTCCAATCTGTAAAATGGGGATAAGCGCCTCATATGAGTGTTGAGGGGAGAACTACATTAAAGCCTGGGAGATGCTCAGATACTTCAGTAACAGAGGTCCTACATGTACCTTAGATATTAAAAGGGAGCTCTATTGCAGTGTCTCAGGTTGGTTTATGCTAATTCAGATGAAGAGTTCCCCATTTTGAAACACACAGGGGGATTCCCCCCATTTAGTTAAATTGGTTTAGTTAAAAGTAAAGGCACCAACTGGTTTTCCAGCAGCCCTCCCTCACAGCTATCGATTTAGCTTTCCGTGCTAGTCAACGGTTGGAGAATCTGGAGCACAAAGAGCCATGTCCAGTTTCTTTAGGAAGAGATGAAAAGGAGGTTGCCAAGAAACGTGACCTTGAACTGGATTGATTATCTCTTTATCCTGTTACCTTCACAGAGGGGGATGCCAATAGAGGGGATGCTAAAGCAGAGGGTTCCCACGCTTCCCTCGACATGCACACCTAGCACTCCTTGTTATCCCTGGGAATTAATGCCTGGCTCCACGTACAAGGGACAAGATGGACACACTGAAACTTGGTTTTTTTTCCCGAGAACGCTCCTTATTCTACCTGAAAGAACAGCCACAGCCACACCGTACTAATGGGTTTAGCCACCTGGTTTTAGCACAGTTTAGCTCTTATTGCAGCTAAAACAGGGGTAGCATTGCTTCGCCAGCCAGAGTGAACAAAGCCAGGTCAAACACAACAGCCTTGTCTACATCTTTACAGTTATCACTGAATGATGGTGGGGCAAACTAGCCTGGCCATGTTAAGCTACATGCTTAATTATAGAAATGGAGGGCTGGAAGGGGCCTCAAGAGGCCATCTAGTCCAGCCCTTTCTGTGAGGCAGGACCAAGTAAACCTAGACCATCCCTGACAGGTGTGTCCAAACTGTTCTTAAAAACCCTCCATTGATGGAGATTCCACACCCTCCCTCGGAAGCCTATTGCAGAGTTTATAGAAAGTTTATCCTAATAGCTAAGCTAAATTTCCCTTGCTGCAGAAGGTGGGAAGCTTCTCGCACGAGCTCTGCAGGGGCATCTTAGTCCTGACAGCAACGCCGTGCAGTTCTGCTCCCGCTGAGGGGAGGCACTCATGCACCCTGGCAGTGGCCATGGTATTAACAATATCAAGAGATAGCCAGATGTGATCCAGTCCAGAAGATGGGGAGGGGAGACTTCCTCTGATTCCAATTCAGACCCAACTCTAGGGAGGTGAAAGGCAAAGTGAATTAACCCAGATTGCCTGCCTGCCTGCCCCCCCCCCCCAAGCGCCAATTTCCACATGACCCAGATCGGGCAGCTGGAAGGAGTAATCTCTCACCTTCATGCCCACGAGGTTGTTGTGAAAGTCCACCCTGGCTCGCAGGTCCTTGTTGGATTTCTTCCCTAGGAACTCCTTGACAAACTTGTTGCTGTACTTGAGGTTGTCACCGCAACCGCCCCACTGCCAGGCCTCTCGGTTTTCCAGATCGGGAGCCTCGTCGCAGGTGCAGCGCTCCATGCGCCCAGCGCTGCAGGCCTTGGCCATGGCGTGGGTGAGCCCGGCTGAGGAAATGGCATAAAGGAAGGCGGTTTCCTTAAAACCTAGGAAAGGAAGAGAGAGGACAGTGTTACTTTGTGGCAGACTGCCTTGCTGGACACAGTTATCTCCAAGGGACTGGACTGAAGGGAATAAGTCATGCCAAAAGCATTACTCCACACCTGCCATTTATACAACACGGGGAGAAATATTGGAGAACAGAACAGAGAACAATCTTTCCATGGCAGAGAAGTGAGGAGAGAAAGGACAGATCAGAACTCAACCTGCAGCTCTCATCCTCTGTGTGGCTAAGCCCTTGTCTACACAAGGAAACTTTTGCTGGTGTAGCCATTCCAGCAAACCCTCCTAGTGTAGACGCAGTTTATATGGGCATAAAAAAAGGGCTTCTTAGGGCATAGCTCACTCCAGTTCCCTAAGAAACAAGCTGTGCTGGCAAAGACACTTTTATACTGGTATAAACTAGCTACAGTAGGGCTTACACTGGCATAGCTAGGTCAGTTAACAAACAAAACAGAACACATCACACTCATACCAGCATAGGTATGATGGTTAGAAATTTTAAGTGTAGACCAGGCCTATGACTGAGTCAGAGGAAGGAGGAGGGAAATAGTGTGTGAGGGAGCATCTGTGAAGATCCCCAGCCTCCAAGACCAGCAGAGGAACAAGTCAAAGCCATCATCATCAAGTAATCCACATACAACAAATTTGAGGTCAGCAAGAGCTTCATGATCATGACTGCGTTGCACAGCAGAACCACTTACAGTTAAATGGTTACAGTGGGGAACAGGAACAAACAACTTTCTGCTCCAGAAGCACATGAGCTCAAGGAAACCATGAACTAGATATGTGTTATTATTCACGATAAATATCCAAGACACAGTTGAGCAGGGAGGAGAGCGACCTACACAGTAGCTGGCCCATCATCACAGACACTGCCCCATTTGAAAAGTTTCTCGTAAGTCTTACACACACTTTACAGTGAACCTGTCTGTGCCTCAGGTTAAGTGATCTGGCTCGAGATTACTCAAGGAGCTGATGAAGACAGAAGTGGCTCCTCGGTCCCTTCTATCCAGGCAAAGCTATTGCATGTTTGAGATCAGATCCCAGAATGCTGTTCTGGATCTGGCTCAAGAATCCTTATCTTGTGAATAACTCAAGCGAAGGGTGACAGTGGCTGATGTCCGTCTGCTAATCTGTCACCCAAAGACAGGCACGGCCACTGCCAGATCACTTCTAGCACTGTGAGCCTTCAAAGCAGGGAGTGAGATTACATGGTGCTGGGCCAGCACCAGTTTTAGCATTGCCAGGGCATTCCCAGATCCAGGGATTTCTAGGGACACAGCACTATGTAAGAGTCGGGTTGACAGCAAGGGCCTCCTGGATGGTCCGGTGGTACTAGCCTTGAACTTGGAAGATGCAGGTTCCATTTCCTGCTTTGCTACAGACTTCCTGTGTGACCTTCGGCATGCCACGTGGCCTCTCTGCCTCAGTTCCCCATCTGTACAATGGGGATAACAGCACTGCCCTACATCACCGGCGTGTTGGGAAGGTAAACACACGAGATTGTGAAGCACTTTGAGATCTGCCGATGGAAGGCACGGTATAGGAGCTTGGCATTATATTGTCCTAGCCCAATGTGATGGGGTGTTGAGCCCACACCAGCCCTGAAGGTGTTCAGGTGGCCCAGAAGGCTCTGACAGGAGGCCTGGGGATTTATAAATACTAATTGCTGATGAAGCCCAGCTGGGGGAGAAGCTGCAGTAGAAGGAGAAGGCTGCAGGGAGACCAGTCTGCCATCAGAGAGAGACAAGGTAGGAAGGAGGAAACTCAGGGGGAAGAATGAGCCCTGGAAGAAGGGTCAACCCCAGAGGAATTGTGGGGGAAGAACACCTGAGAAGGCAGAGTAGGAAGAAGCCCAGGGAAACAGCCGTAAGGAAGACTGTCGGGGTTGGCTGCTGGTTATAGGGTCCCTGGACTGGAACCCAGTGTAGAGGGTGGGCCTGGGATTCCCCTACCAGCCACTGGGAAGTGGCACAGGACTGTTGGAGGTGCCCTCCATACAGTTGGTCCTGTGAGACTGATATCCTGGAAGTGGGGACCATGGAGGACCTAGCTGAGGGCTGAGCTGTGAAGAGAGCACTGAATTATGGGAGGAGACCACCACCACCACCGAGTGGCCATCATCAGCAGGAGGCACCACATGGCAAGAAAGTTGCTGTGCCATGCCTAGCCAGGAGGTGGTGCTCTTGCAGTGGGTGAACTCCATCACCCCCCCATTTATTGCAGGCCACACAGAGCTAAACATCTCTACATAGGGCCATTCCCTTCCCCTTCCCCCCCATATGAATGCACCTACTGAAATCCCCAATTCCACAGACAGCAGCATTCAATGGCTGTTTCTCCTCTTGGTACCAGGCAGGCTAGACTCTAGACGTGTTACAATACCCGATGTTCAAAGGGTGGTGGCCAAAGGTGACTGTTGCCCATGCCACAGAATTATCACACAACCCCATGATTTGGCCCGTCTCAAGCAGGCTAACCTGTATTCAAGTCAGACTTGCTCAAATCATGGTAGGGGTGCTCCATTGCCATAAGTGACCCCCTTTCACACAAAGATTGTGCATTACAGAACGGCCACTGACAGAAGTGTACAAAAATAAATCAATGGGAGCATTCAACACTCCAATATGGGTTTGTGGCAACTTTGTCCTGCTCACTTTTGGATGTGAACGGGTCAGAGGAGAATCTGGATTTGGCAGAGATTTTACTAGGTTTGTAGGGTGACGCAATATGCTCCAGAGGGATTCCAGACTGCTCAGGTGTGTGTCATAGGCTCTATATAGCTAGAAGTGGTTCTCTTTAGATAGAGGCGAGTGCTTTTGGAGTAGGACATTGTGGTCTCTGCTGAGAGTGCTATTGTAACCCACACATCGCCTGGGTTTGGGGCTCTGTCCCACCTAGTGGCATTGAGACAGACCACTTAGCGAAGGCTGTTGGAGACTCATTAATCTCTAAGGACCATGTGGCTTTTAGCTCATGCAGTAGAGACTCATGCATTTAGCTGCAGAGGTCCCAGGTTCAATCCAGAGGTCTGTCAGCGTTACACCATAAAGTAGAGAACCAAGAATTTGCACCAGTATTGTAACCTTTCTGCCAGGTGACGCCAGCGGCAACCAGGGCTGGATTCAATATCTAGGGGTTCCTTTCCATGGATACAACACAGAAATGGCTTGAGCCCCCACCCAGTAACCTGGGAAAATTACACACCACCCCTGAGTGCCTCAGAGAGGCAGTACTTCCCCACTCACAAGCACAGACTGAGTGTAGAAAAGAAACTTAATAAAAGGAGGGAAGTAATTCAGCATTAATTTGGGAAACCACCACAAACAGGGTTCATAAACACAAACCATGAGTAAAAGACCCACCCCCTGGGGGGGGGGTTGTGCAGCTTCCTGACCAGACCACCAGAATTCCTGTCTTCACCCCTATTACTTTCACAGGGCTCTGACATTCGAGCCCCTGCTTAACGAGGTTCTTTCAACTGAGGGTGCCCCCCATTTGGGACAGTTTAAGCACAGTCCAGCTTTCTTGTATTCCTACAATAGTTACAACATTGGTAACCATATTTCAGCACCCCTGCATTCAGTACTAAGGTCATTTGTACCCACCACCAGCCAAAGTTGATCCTTTGACACAGCTGTAAATGATGAAGATGTAAACAGAGCAGGAGCAAACTGTATTTACATAAACACACCCATAGTCTCTTCCCCTCCCAGCTAGCGGTCAGGGAAGCATTCATTCAGACCCTGCTTACTGTATAAAGCATGAAGCCCTTACTGGAACAGGAGATAAAAATACCTTCTGTGGCTAGGGATCCTGAAGGAAACGCCATCAACCATCAATGTGAAACAGCCAGCAATAGACGTGCTAGAAAGGCAACAGGCATTTTTGCATCTGAGTTCTTGGCCTTGTCAATACAATGCTACCTTGGATACACGGTGAGCGCAACAGGCCCCAGATAAATAGCCCAGGCTCCGTGCACTGCATGGGGCGTATCAAAACGCTGCCTGAAAATGAATTTGGTGAGAAGGGATAGTTTGTCTGGCATGCTGCCATGACAGTGCTTAGTGGCAAAACTTCAGTATAAGCTTGCTCCTCTTAGGTCGATTTCACAACCAGCCCATTAGGTATAATAGCTTATTCTCCACTTCTCCCTCCTCCATCCTTCGAGACTCAGATTCCCAATGCCCACCGGCCTGCGTATCATCTCACTCTCCGGCAGCTCAGCCAGTTCAGTCAAGTTCATGTGACATTTGGCTCTGGCCAGAATTAGAGCCATCTCTGCAGTGCACTATTTGATTGCACCGAGATATTTTGTAACAAGATAATAGACTCTAAATCAATGCAGGCATTCTAACCTCAAGTGTCTGGAGAGCCTGCCATCCACGGCGATCCAGTTTCAGCCGTTTCCAGATCACTTGCAAGTCTCCAAAAAGGGCATCCAAAGAGGATAACACACACACAGTTAAAGGGATTTTTTTTTTATTGTTAAAAAGGAGCACTTATCTGGAAGTTACAACTCAGTGATCAGGCACTTTTGGTGACCGAATGCAAGACAGAGAAGACAGGCAAGTTTCTCTCCTCCTTCAAAGGTGGAGTAGTTCCAAGGAAGCGCACACACAAAAAAATCCCCATGCTGGCACATTTGAGTAACTGCAGATCACTAGATAACACACCTTCCCCTTTGCCCCAGGGTAATGGCTCTTGCAACGCGGAGACAGGAACCAAGAACTCCCCTTGTGGAGAAGTGAAAGATTCAAAGGGCAGCATGTTATGTTACAGGCACAACATCTGCAGGATTTATAGCCTCTGTGGAGGGCAGAGAACTCCAAAGAAATAAAACATGGAACAACGAGGCAGCAGGCAGACTCCTGGAACCTGCAGGGTTGTCATTTGTTATGCAAAGCCATATTTTTAGGCAGCTAAAATTGAAGCACCTTTAATGTGGTAATGGCTGTCCATCAAGCCAGCTCTCAGCTGGAAGGAACAGGCTGTGGCCTCCAGGTGTCAGTATAAGAAAGCTTGTACTCTAAGCTCCATTAACCAGGGGTAGTTCTGGCAAGCGGAGATATTTTTAAACATCTTGTAGCTCAGGTTCAGCGTCTAGGGTTTCATAGGACTTTCCTTGTTCCACACAGTCAAGGACAGACCATCAGTTTAGACCCAACGCTTCAAGTGATTAAATTTTGGACTACTTGAAGATGGTGCAGAGAGGAAGGAGTGTCTCATGGTTAGAGCAAAGGCAATGCTATACCGTTTGTGTGTGCATGGCATGTGTTGTATGACCCACAATTGGCCAGACTTGCAGAACGAGTCCATCTAGTCCCTGAACACGATGACATCCTCTGCACAGAGTGACTTCACATGTACTGTACGTGCAAGGCCATGCCACATGGAGGATGTCATTTTGCAAGCAAATGTGCAGTTGCATGCCTGACTCAAAATGTCACAGCATGCCACTGAGCAAATGTTGGAGTCAGGACACCTGGGTTCCATTCCTAGCTCTCTCATTGATGGGATGACTTTCCCTTAATGTCTCTTGGGTCTCAGTCTGGAAGATGGGTCTAGCATTACTCAGCCACCTCAAAGGGGATGCTGAGAGTTTAAAGTTAGTTTTTGCCTTTCCAGAGCCCCACTTTTCACCCAGGGATCTCTAAGCACTTTGCCAAAACACCAACTTATTTTCTATTAGGGAAACAGGAGGGGGGTTTTTGCCTCTTCCAACTAGCTTCCCTTGTATGGAGTATTATAGTCAGACTTGGTTCCTGCCCTTCATACAAGGTTAGGTGAGTTACAAGACTCACCACCAATATTCACTCCCCTCTTCTGCTCTACAGAGCAGCTCAGAGATAGTGTAAAGTAACCATCCATATTGTCCTCGACCTAGAACCATTCCAGGCCGGGGCAATTAGGGCTCATTAAAAGTTGCAAAAGCTTCATTTCACTTTGTACTAGGACCTGGCAAAAGCTGACTCTGCATATCCTCTGTTTCCCTTTCACAACATAAAGCCGTTTGGCATATCCTGCTCTTATGCCTTCATTTTAAGGAGAGGATTCAAAGCACTTTGGTCTGAAAGTGGAGTACTCTTTAGGCACCACTCCAGGTTTCATGGTTTATTAAGAGTGTTTCTTACCTTAAAAGAGAAGTCTGGGGGGCAGATTGGGGCAAATTCTACCCTCTGTTATAACTCATGGGTTTAGAGACAGAACAGAGGGCAGATAATTTAGCCCAATCAGTCCATCTGTGAAACTCCACTGAAGTCAATTGGTAGCTGGAGTGTAAGTGAGCATACAACTGGATCCATGGTTACCACATCCCCTTTGGTTACCCACCATGTTCTAGAGAACAGGGGCTCTCAACCTTTCCAGGCTTCTGTACCTCTTTCAGGAATCTGATTTTTCTTGTGTACCCCCAAGTGTCACCTCACTTCAAAAACGACTTGCTCACAAAATCAGGCATAAAAACTACAGATGTGTCCCAGCACGCTACTACTGAAAAATTGCTGACTCATGTTTACCCATACAATTATAAAATAATCTGTTGGACTGTAAATATTGTACTTACCCTGAAATGTA